AAGATACAACATTCCAGATAGAAGGAACCACATTCAAGCCCAGGGGTGGGAAGGACTAGCACACAAAAGGAATGGAATGGAGGCATGCAAGGCTGGAACAAAGCATTGGAAGGAGAGGATGGTATGAAATGAAGGTGGAAAATGATCATGTGGGGACTTTAGAGGTAGGTAAAGAGTGTGAGGTTGTTTTAGTTTTGTTTTAAATGTCTCTGGCTGTTGTTTGGAGAAAAGATTACTGCAGGTGGTAGGGAAAAAGTGAAGTGTACTATAATAGCCTAAGAAAAAGTCTGTTGTGGGCTTGAATACCATGCTGGTGAAAATGAAGAGTTAATGAATTCAAGATATATTTTGGAAGTAGAATTAACTGGACATGATAATGGATTGGGAGTAAATTGGAGTACGAGAAAACAAGATGTTGGCTAGGTTCTATCTTTCATATAATACTCATAATAGAACCATTTACTGAGGTAAGAAAAACCAGAGGAGGAATAGCTTTTGGAAGGAAACTGGGAGATATATTTTAAACATATCCTATTTGAAATGTCTATTCAGCACCTAAGTGAAGTGCTAGGTGGGCAGTCACCTGTATACATCTGGTGCTTAGGAGAGAGCTCAAAAGGTAAAAAGACACAAATTTAGGAGTTATTAACATATTGGGGATACTCTATGTCATAGAACTAGAGGCTGTCACCCAAGGTGAGAATTTTAGTGGAGAAACCTGAGACTGAATCTCAACATTCAGAGGTTGAGAATGGGTGGAGAATTCAGCAAAGATGAAAAGGAAGCAAGCCAAAGGAGTAAGAGAAAAAAAAAAAAAAGATTTTGATGACCTGGAAACAAACAGGGAAACATGAGTCATGAAAGAGAGAATCATCAGCTGAGACAAATCTGCTGAAATGTTAAGAAAATTGAGGATAAAGAAGTGTGTCCATTTGGTCTGACTTAATGTTCTTCTGGAAAGGCTGGATTAGTTGCTACTCCTATTGTTCCATAATTCCATGTATGTGTTTTATGGTATATACCATACCATTTATCATACTTCATCGTAACTGTTTTAACTACCTGTGGCACCCATTAGTGAAAGGTGAGTGACTTACCCGAGATGGAAATTCAACTAAGAGATTTTATTGGGGGGCTGCCCGAAGGGGAAGGAAAGGAGAGGAAAAGAGCAGCAGCCTGAGCCTACAAGCTTCAGCTTAGGAAGGGTTGCTTAGGCAACTTGGCGGGTGCTAATTGGCAGGGTGACTCAGGAATGAGTGCTGACTGGCAGGGTGACTCAGGAACCAGCGAGTGGATACTGTGTCCCGTGGGGGATTGGTTGAGAAAACTTTTGACTTTGGCGCCCTTCAGAGAGGAGGGGGAGGGGTAAGGGATGACACGTTGTTCTTCTAGAGAGATGGAAACTTAACTTCGGTGAGGAGAAACTTGATGGGGGAAATAAAACCAAAAGGCAAGGTGTCCCACACACCCAACAATTAGATTTTAAGTTCTATGAAAACAAGGACCATGTCTGATTGGGTCACAATAGCATAGTGACTGGCATGTAGTAAAATCTGAATAAAGAATTTTTCAGTGGTGAAGGAATAAATAATGAATGAACAAAAGATGTACAAAGGTCATTGACACTCATTCTTCTCAAATGAAAAATAAGAATTATATCTGACTCCTCAATTCTAGGAATTTCATCAAAACTCAACAATTAAAGTCCCTGGACAGTGACACTGGGGGCCATTGGTTGGTTGTGCTGGGGATTGAATCCAGGGCCTGAAGCATGCTAGGCAAGCACTATACCTCAACATCCTTGACTAAGGTTGGTCTTAATACACAGAAATAGTATAGGAACAGTAAGAGGAAGGAAAAGTCCATCAAAAGCAGGACTCAAATATATTAAAATGTTCCATAAACTCAACTTTATAACCACCAGTTCTTCCACTGTTGCAGAAACTATTAGAGCTGCACAGTACCTTTCTATGGCATTTTGTTTTATCATTTGATGCTATGCAATATATTCATTGTTAACTCGATTTCACCCATAAACTTTATGGGATTGTTTGTGGGGAGAAGCTTATGTTGGTGCAAAATAGCTGCATGAATTTGCACCTTCTCATGGCTCAACTCTTTCCTGTCAGGAATCTATTTTGAGTTATCTACTCAGTGAGGAGTCCTCATATTTTTGCAGCTCTTTTTTATCTAAGGAGGAACTGGAGTTCTATTTGTGTGTGTGTGTGTGTGTGTGTGTGTGTGTTTCCCTATCATGTTTATGCAGACCAATCAAAGTCGACTCCAAGACTGATCTAAGTTCTAAAGAGCAGAGCATTCATCTTAGAATAGGCGTATATTTCTTTTCATGCTTGGACTAATGTAGGCTATTTGTTTTCTGCCAATATGCTTATGTATCAGTTTCCTATGACTGCTGTAATAAATTATAATAAACTTGGTAGCTTAAAACAATATATATTTTTTTCTCTTCCAGTTCTCGAGGTCAGGAGTCCAAAATTAGTATGGATAGAGCTGTACTTCCTATAGAGGCTTTAGGAACTCCTTGTATTTTCCAGCTTCTGTGGTTGATAGCATTCCTTGGCTTGGGGCTACATCACTTGAATCAATGCCTCTGTGATCACACTGCCTTCTTTTCTGGTATGTAGGATCTCCTGCTTCTCTCATAAGAATTTCTGTGATTGTAGTTGGGCCCATTCTGATAATCCCAGATAATCTCCCCATCTCAAGATCATTAACTTAATCATACCTATAAAGATCTGATCTTATATATTTGGGGGCCATTATCAGCTTACCATAATTTACAGCTCAAAAGTATACCAACTACTTATTGAAACTCATGAAAAGCTTTTTTGTTTTTGTTTTTTGCAGTTCTAGGGATTGAACCCACTGAGCTATATATCTCATGTTCCTCCTTTAAAATTCTGATACAGGGTCTCACTAAATTGTTCCGGCTGGCCTTGAACTTGTGATCCTTCTGCTTCAACTTCCCAGGTAACTGAGATTATAGTTGTGTACCAATGCTCCTTGCCCATGAAAAATTTTATACACTCCTCAAATCCCAATGTATGCTAAGCTCAAACAATTATTTTTATTTTAAACATTTTATTTTACAATAAAATGTTAAAATTGTTTTGATTCAGTGATAAATGCAAAGTGCTACATATAGGTTCTAAAAATAACCACACTATTTAAAATTATCTGGGATGCATATAATTTGAACTTAAAGAATTGGCTAAATTGAAGAGAGAAGAGAAAGCTTAAATAATAATCATATAGCTTTCTGCATATGTATGAAGATGTTTGACAAAGAATAGGGATTAGATGCATGCTGTATAAATTGAATCAGGAATAATTAACTGCAGGCAGAATCAGATTATAAGCCATTACAAAGAATTCAGAAAGGGCAATGGAAGAGGCCTCCTCAAAATGAAATCACTTCCTAGTTCTGGAAGTGTTCATGAATGTGCAAAGGCCCTGAGGGAGGCATGCAGAGAAAAAAGGTAGAGAATACATCCACAGGTACAATCATGAGAAATTTAATAAAAACAAAATCTCTTTAATGATTGATTCTAGATAGCACAAGTAATATTACTCTTCTCCAAACTAATTTTCTAATTACAGCCAGCATGATCTTTTAAAAAGTCATATCTGATTATGTCAGCCCTTAATAACATTCTGCACTAAAACCCTTCATTTGATTAAAGGCCCTTTCTATATTGACTCCTGGCTTCCTTGCCAGTCTCATCTGGAGTTTTTACCTGCATTCTTGTCATGTTTTAGTTGCTCAACTTTAGGGAGCCCTTCCTACTTCCAGCTATTGAATAACTTCTTCCAAACCTCAATGCCTCTATCCTTTTTGCCTAGCATACTCAAAGATAGCTTTCTCCAGGAAGGCTTCTTTAACATGCCAAACTAATTGGTTTCCCATGCATACCTGCAAATTTCTCTGAACTGCTTCAAGATGAAGCATTCATTGCATAGTTGATTGTCTTACTAAAAGGTAAGCTCTCTGAGGACAGAGACATTCAGCACAGGGCCTGGCATATTCAAATATTTGTTGGATGAATAAATGGACTTTTAAAAAAATTTGGCTGAAGTGCAAAAGAAGACTGATGGGGGAAAAATGTTTGCCGAACTGATAGCAGACCTCTAGTTGCAAAACTTCAGAAATACCGCTATGGTTTCTTAAAGGAATGTATTTCATAAAAGAAAATGGAGGCTAATGAGGAAAATTAAACAATCATCAAACAAACTGGGTCCATTAAACTGGAGTCAGCATGGAATACAGAAATCCTGGGAAGCAGAGCACAACAACTTAAGATATATCATGCATTCAGTCATTATTACCAAATATTTGTGGAGTGCTTATTATGTGCCTGGCATTTGGGGCAGGCTGGGCATACAAGGTAGGCAAGTATTACACAGTCTTTGTTCTTACAAAACATACAGCCCAATCGGGATGGACAAATACTTTGCAAAGTAATTTCATTTCAAAGGTAAGTAATAAAGAAGGTATATCATTGTTATGAAATACCTAATTTAGTGGCAGGTAGGTAGGAAGGATAGAAGAATGTCGGGCATGGACTGGGTGGTCAGGAAGCCTTTCGGAGTTATGGAGGCCCTGATGGTCTGGGAAACTCATAATTTGGAGATTTCAAAGAGAGACTCAAGGACACCTTGATAGATTTGACTCAGTGATCCCTGGTGTGAAAGGTCCTTTGCCTGGTCAGCAAGGCTTGTCCCTGGGCAAGAATGACAACATTCTGCACTTCATCCCACCAGAGCGGGACCTGTCACAAAGTGCTGGTTGGTTCCTGGTTCCCGCAGGCTTCCACCAAGGGCAGGGCAGTCGCGGCCAGCAGACAGCCTGGCGGTGCCCTAGACGCCAGACTTACCCAACTCCACCCTGAGAAGAGGCGTGGAGACCCCGCCCACGCCCCGGCGAGCTCTGCCGGCGCGTCCGGAGGCCGCCCCTGGCCGGCGCGGCCACGTGACCCGAAGTGTGACGTAGGAGGAAGGAGACGCCATTAGAGGGAGGTGGAGAGGGAGCGCTCTTCGCCTTTCCTCCGGTGCCTGACGTGGTGGCTAAGGCCCTTCATTCTTGGACTTTCTCTCGGTCCTTCCAGGCCTCGCCCGAGGGCAGAGAGGAGCCAGCGCCGGGTCGGCGGGCCGTTGGCAGGGCGCGGAGTCGGCCGCGGCCGTGAAGGCGCTGCCGCGGCTGTGGGGAGCTCGGCGCAGTTCTCGTGCTCGGGCGGCCGGGAAGCGGCGGGATGGCTGCGGCCGGCGGCGGAGCGGCGGCGGGCCGAGCTTACTCGTTCAAGGTGGTGCTGCTCGGGGAAGGCTGCGTGGGAAAGACGTCGCTGGTGCTGCGCTACTGCGAGAACAAGTTCAACGACAAGCACATCACCACTCTGCAGGTGCGGACCCCGGGCAGCGGGAGGTGGCGCCTCGGGGCCCCCACCTACCTGGGGCTGTGAGGACTTTGCCGCCCGAGTCCGCGGGATCTGGGCTGGCAAACTTCAGGCCTGTCATCTCCACCTTCGGATTGCTTTTCCGAGTTCGCCTTGGTTTCAGGCTAGGTCGGGGCGCTGGTAGATGGTGAGGACAGGCTGCTGGACGGGAGGTGGAAGAACCCTGAAAAGTCCCAGTGTCCCCGGTGGTAGCTACGCACTTCGGGGAGTCCCCTTCCGTGGACTAGTTTTTCCCCTTTGATGAGCTTCCGCTTGGGCCCTAGGTGTTTTCACCCTACAGTCTCAGGGCTTTTTCTGTACTTCGGAAATAGGAACTTAGCTGCAGGTCTGATTTTTGCGAAAGGTGATTTGTAACTTAAGTACTTAACTGATGACAAAGTGTTTATGCAAGTTCCATTTTGTCCTGTTAGCAGGAATGGCAAAACAGCCATCTCTGGAGGGTTTTTGAAATGACCGCTTGCTGGTGCAGGTTACGCAGTTTCATTGCAGCCTGCGTGGGTCTGACTTGTGGGTCACTCATTCTGCGAGGTCGGTCGACCCACGTTGACACGTCATGTGAATACTGGCCAGCAATTGGTCCCAAAACTAAAAGCTTAGACGCTGCTACTATTCATTTCCTTAACCTGTCATGAAAGGCTGACTTTCTTCTGCACTTATATGGGAAAACATTAAAATATAATCATTAAGAATGAAGCCAGGCCTTTGAGGAGTATTCTCTCCCCCACACTTCTGAAGAAATCGGTTTGCATTTGTTAGGAAAAGTTTATCCTACTAATCTGGCTTGGTAAATTTGGCCAGAGGCAGTAAAGTCTAGTGGACATTTGAGTTTGATTGCCTAGATTGTATCCTGTCTTAATCCATTTAATTAGCTGCGTAATCTTGGGTAAATTTCTTAATCTTCTGACCCTAAATTTCTTCTTCTGTTAAAATGGTCATAATAATAGTATCTAGCACATAGGGTTGTCAGGATAAGTTTATGTAAAAGCACTAGGACTTGATGCAGTGTAAATACCCTATTATTAGGGCCCCAACTTGCACAGTAGAATTTAATTAGTAATTGTGAAGTGTATAAGAACATGGATGCTATTTAATGGAATGCATAATCTAACCATTGTGACATTTGATGTTTGATACTATTATTAAACTCTTGGGTCTAGAATATAGGAAGATGCTGTGATTCTGATTCCATGTTCTATTTTTACCCGTCTGTTCTTAATCCTATGTGAAACATAATATCTGAATGTCAGATTATAAATTGCCACAAGTTAATGCTGCAGTGGTGCCAAAGCTCAACTTTGAACCCTGGTCTGATTTAGGATTTTGAAGAGTTAACTTTGACTGCGTCTGGATATTGATAAACTATTTAGCAATTTCCTTTACGCTAAGATCTAAAATGAAAAACTATTATAATTGAGATCTTAATGGTTTTTAAAAAGATAATTTAGTATTCTAACCTAAAAATTATATTTTTATTAGACATCTCAAAAACATGCTCAAAACTAAATACCTGAGAGAAGTCAGTGCAAACCCACACAGGAAAGAATAAAGTTATAGTAGATCTTCAGTATCAAAAGCATAAAAGACCTGATTTTTATGTTTATATAACTCGTCACAGTATCTGGATTTTTATAGAATTGAGGACTTTGTTGTATACCAATTTATGGAAACAGTACTCTAATCTCTTTCTCTTAGATATCAGTTCACCTCATTTTTCTTTTTTTTCCTGAGAAGTGTGATTTGTGTGACCTAGGAGACACAATGTTATATGCTTTTAATTTCCAAAATGAGAGGAAAGATATGCATCAGAAGATATGAGAAGAGTTCACTTTTTTCTTGTCAAGAAACTTTTCTTTTTGGTTGTTGATGGACCTACTATTTATTTATTTATATGCAGTACTGAGAATTGAACCCAGTGCCTCACACATGGGAGGCAAGCACTCTGCCACTGAGCCACAACCCCAGCCCCAAGAAACTATCTTTTTAAAGTACTTTTTGTTTTGCAAACTATGCTCTTATCCATTCATATTTTTTTAAAAAATTGTATGACTGATTAGAACCTCAGATAGTTCATGATTCACTGTTTCAGTCTTATTTTGAATTCTTCAGTCAGTTGATTGTCCACCTTTTTATTTGTTAACATCTTGAAGGTAAAATGAACTGATGTCAGAGAAAGTAGAAAACTACTGAGGTGGCCCATTTCCTTTTTAGACAGGTCTAATTTTCAGCAAGTTTTTCTTTGTATCAAGTCAAACTCTGTTTTTTTGTAGTTACCACCCTAGTTCTGCCCTCTGAATCTTGGTCTCATATGACATCACTTCTGATAGTTGAAGATAACTTATTACATCCCCTTGAGTCTGGTCTTCTTTGGGTAACACAGCTCTAGTTCCTTTAACTGGATCTCTAGTGACATTATTTAAAATCCTTCCACTATTTTTTAAAAAATTTTTATTTTTGTAGTTGTAAATGGACAGAATGGCTTTATATGTTTATTTGTTTTTTATTTTTTTGTATATGAAAGCAGAATGCATTATAATTCATTTACACATAGAGCACAATATTTCATATCTCTGGTTGTATATAAAGTACATTCACGCCAATTTATGTCTTCATACATGTACTTTGGATAATGATGTTTATCACATTCCACCATCATTTCTAACCCCCACCCCCTCCCTTCCTCTCCCACCCCTCTGCCCTATCTAGAGTTTGTCTATTCCTCCCGTGTTCCCCCTCTCTACCCCGCAATGAATCAATCAGTCTCCTTATATCAGAGAAAACATTCAGCATTTGGTTTTTTGGGATTGGCTAACTTCACTTAGCATTATCTTCTCCAATTTACCTGCAAATGCCATGGTTTTATTCTCTTTTATTGCTGAGTAATATTTCATGTGTATATATACCACATTTTCTTTATCCATTCATCTGCTGAAGGGCATCTAAGTTGGTTCCACAGTTTAGCTATTGTGAATTGTGCTTCTATAAATGTTAATGTGGTTGTCTTTGTAGTATGCTGTTTTTAAGTCCTTTGGGTATAGACTGAGGAGCGGATAGATAGCCGGGTCAAATGGTGGTTCCATTCCCAGTTTTCCAAGGAATCTCCATACTGCTTTCAATGTTGGCTGCACCAATTTGCAGTCCCACCAGCACTGTATGAGTGTACCTTTTTCCCCACATCCTTGCCAACACTTATTGTTCTTTGTCTTCATAATAGCTGCCATTCTGACAAGAGATTTCTTAGAGTAGTTTTGATTTATATTTCTCTAATTGCTAAAGATGATGAACATTTTTTCATGTATTTGTTGGTTGATTGTATATCATCTTCTGAGAAGTGTCTATTCAGGTCCTTGGCCCATTTATTGATTGGGTTATTTGTTTTTTTGGTGTTTATCTTTTTGAGTTCTTTATATACCCTAGAGATTAGTGCTCTATCTGATGTGTGAGGGGTAAATATTTGCTCCCAAGATGTAGGCTCTCTATTTACCTCACAGATTGTTTCTTTAGCTGAGAAGAAACTTTTTAGTTTGATTCCATCCCTTTTATTAATTCTTGCGCTACAGGAGTTTTATTAAAGAAGTTAGGGCCTAATCAATATTATCAAAATGACCATACTAGCAAAAGCACTATATATATTTAATGCAACTCCAATCAAAATCCCAATGGCATTCCTCTTAGAAATAGAAAAAGCAATTATGAAATTCATCTGGAAAAATAAGAGACCCAAAATAGGTAAAGCAATCCTTAGCAAGAAGACTGAAGCAGGTAGGTAGCATCACTATACCATACCTTAAACTATACTACAGAGCAATAGTAACAAAAACAGCAGGGTATTGGCACCAAAACAGACTGGTAGACCAATGGTACAGAACAGAGGACACAGAAACTAACTCACAGAATTACAATTAGAGGTGCCAAAAGCATACATTGGAGAAAAGATAGCCTCTTTAACAAATGGTGCTGGGAAAACTGGAAATCCATATGCAACAAAATGAAATTAAACCTCTATCTCTTACTATGCACAAAACTCAACTCAAAGTGGATCAAGGACCTAGGAATTAAACCATAGACCCTGTGTCTAATAGAAGAAAAAGTAGGCCCTAATCTTATTTGTTTATTTTTATGTGGTGCTGAGGATTGAACCCAGTGCCTCACACATGCTAGGCAAGTGCTCTGCCACTGAGCTACAGCCCCAACCCTAAAATCCTTTCACTGTTTCAACATCTCTCCTAGAGTGTTTAATCACTCTTAGTCATCATCCTTCTTTTCTTATATTTTCTTATATTTGACCTGTTAAAGTTCAGGTACATCTGATTTGCTTCAATGATTAAAGTCTGTTAATTTATATATTTATTAGTTATTTTGCAGTACTAGGGATAGAACCCGGGGACAGAACCCAGGGCCGCACCCATGCTTGGCAAGCACTCTTGCCACTGAGCTACTTTCCCAGCCTTTTTTTTCTTTTTCTTTAAGTTTTAATTTTGAGGGTCTCACTTAAGTTACCCAGGCTGGCCTGAAACTTGTGATCCTCCTACCTCAGTCTTCAGAGGAGCTGGGACTATAGGTGTGTGTCACCACAACAGCAGTTAATGTCCTTTTAAATTTAGATTTTGTGGGCTGGGGTTGTGGCTCAGTGGTAGAGCGCTTGCCTAGCATGTGTGAGGCACTGGGTTCCATCCTCAGCACCACATTAAAAAATAAACAAATAAAAACAAAGTTATTGAGTTCAACTATAACTGAAAAATATTTTTTAAAAAAATCCTTGATTTGGGGGGCTCAGATTGTGGCTCAGTGTAGAGTGCTTGCCTAGCACGCATGAGGCACTGGGTTTGATACTCAGCACCACATTAAAAAATAATGAAATAAAGATATTGTGTGTCTAGTATTAAAAAAAAATCCTTGGTTTTGTAATTAATGAACAATTGTTTGGCCTTCTGTGGGCCAGGAACTGG